CAATGGCAGCCATGTTATCTACGTCGACCATCATCGGTCACTCTTCCTGTATGCTAGACGACATGTATGGTTTTTCAAGGCAATATACGATGAGTCGGTGAAAATTAAGAAAACTTTCATTCTTACCATAATTCACTATCCAGGTGCCTTAATCAGAAAAAAAAATCTGTGCAACATTCGTCAACTTCTCCAAGAATATAACTATAAGGAACTCCTCAAGATCCGTGGGTTACTTCCTGTTTAAACTTCCTATACAATCTCCTCAGATTTTCTACATAAGCGGGATCCCTGGTGCCTTCAACACCCCACTTATCTTTTTGGAAAGGTTCTCAGCTGCACCAATAGTCATTGTCGTCATTAACAATTATTCACATACAGAAAGATTATATTTCATTTTTCTTCAGATTTACAGTATTAATAGTCATGCTGGCTGATTTCTATCACCAGATTTTAGAATAAACTTCAGCTGCTAGAGAAAAGAGAAAATACTTATTTGCTTGAAAAAAGGCAAAGTATTATTGTGTCTATTCTACATTTTAGCCAAACCAAGGTCCTAGTGTGATATCTCAAGTTCTACATATATTACCTAGGTCAATGACTATTCTCATTACAAATCGGAAGGAAGATTCATTTCTAGCTTGTTTAAATTTCACAGGAAACTATTCAGTAATAGTTCTGATAACAAAACAAACAACAAACTTTAGTGTGATTCAAACTTAACACATTCATTCCCAAAACATATTACGTTTTTAAATTAAGTTCCGTGAACTGTCTTCATATTTTTAATACTTTTTATTATTACCATCTAACAAATTTTAAGCCATAGTACTGAGGACTTTGATAAGTGAGCTTTTGTTTGATAATAATGATAATAGTTAACAGTGAGGGTATATAACTGGTGAATCAATTCACTCTAATAATTACAAACACTTTGATAAGTGAGCTTTTGTTTGATAATAATGATAATAGTTAACAGTGAGGGTATATAACTGGTGAATCAGTTCACTCTAATAATTATAAGTATTTGTTTATGGCATTGCATATTCCTAGTTGCACAGTTATAATAAATTATTTACTTGGTTCATTTTTAGTTCACACCCATATTGTTGGGATTTGTTTTATCAGTATACTTAATATAATTGATCAAGTGCTTATATAGTGCTAGAGTTTAACTATACAATTTATAGCCATAATTGAAAGACAATCAAAAAAAGTTTAGAGTTGGTCTTCATTTGTGAACTAAAACAGACTTTCGCTTTTATTAACGAAACCTAACGCTTCTTTTTTTAGCTTTAATAACAAATATAATATTTTCCTTCAAATTGTTTCATGATTAACTAGAAATGAACTGACATTTTTATACAATCTGTGACTTACATTACATTTTACATTTAAGTCAACTTCAAATTCAAAACTAGCACGAGAATGTGATTTTAAAATCTACACAAATTTTACATTGTTTATACTCTATTCAGTGATGCTAAATGCTCATACATTTTCAGCACTTGAATTATATATGCACATGCAGGCTGCAATTATTACCTACTTATAGATTATTATACAACTAACTAGCATACCTGAATAATAAAAATATAATTTATGTATTAACTGTTGTCTATGTAACATATATACATCATACTATTTGCCTTTATTTTTAGTCTTTATTTTAAACATAAAATGATTTTATTATTTTCAAACACAACATTTTAAGTATGGAAGTTTAATACTATAAAACACTCTATCTACAATTTAAATTTATTTTAGAAACACGAGTACTTATTTTAATAACACCAAAAAAGTACAAAAGCGGTGTTCCAGTCCGCTCCTGCTTCACTTTATCACGTATTCTACTAAAGTTATTGAAAATAGAGAAAGAATATAACATCAGATATGTTTGAAAAGAATAACCATTTCAGGGTCTAATTATCATTTTAAATGTTTAAAAAAATGACAACAGAAGTAAACACATTTCTGTTGATATTTTATAATTAGTAAATAGTTTATAAATAATGTCCACTGTGCAAAGATAAACATAATATAAAGCGTACATCATATTTCTACTATTCTTGTCAACAGATGACACTAGGAGTCCACTCATTAGAGATACCTCACGGGTTAATTATATATTGTGTAATTCCTAAAGGGGAAAAGTGGTATTGACAAAATTTTATTATAACGTTCAGGAAAGGAGGTGTGTGTCAGTTAACAATGTTGTAACGTATTGTATGTGTCAGTTAACAATGTTGTAACGTATTGTATGAACATAAACAAATAAACCTGTTTATCGTTTAGAACTAAGAAGTTTTTTTACGCAGATCATTATCCTTTTCCTTTACTATCATGAACTTTGACCTTTACTTCATATGAATTTATTTTATTTTTTAAGTTCACAAAGGTCGTCTAGTATTCATGTTTAACAATAGTACTGTCCTCCTGTGGGACAGCGGTAATTCTAAAAACTTATGAAGCTAAAACCCGGGGTTCGATTTCCCGCGGTGGACACAACAGATAGCTCAGTGTGGCTTTGCTCTAAAAACAAAACAAACAAACACTAGTACCACCTTTAAATTTCACTGTTTTAATATATTACTATGATACACTCAAGACACAAATGATGTTATTACATACATATCACACAAACAACACTGACACATAGATAGTGACGTAGAAAACATTACTTGTTTGTGAACAGACAGTATTATTACACAGAGAATTACGAACAATAATGTTTCATAGGTGTTGACAGAAAGAATATTCTTATGTACGTAATAACACACACAATATTCTTTTACTGTGAAGAATCAAACTAGACGTCTCTATGTGTTCCTAAGCCAGCATGAAATCTTATCATGCTAAGATGTGAGGCTCGATTTTTGTGATAGGCACAGTTCAGATAGCCCATTATACAGCGTTGCCCTCAGCAATAAACAATAAAAAATCAAAATAGACTAACAATAATTAAATCAATAACAGTTACAATTACCCAAAATAATTACTTGGCAAAGCGTATTTGATACGAGCTACCAAACAGCTTTTAAACAATCCTCAAGGTGACCATACTTGCATTTTCAAGTATGTTTATAAATATAACCACACAGCAGAAACTTACCTCTCGACCTTTCTGCAATAGCTTTGCGACCTCCTTTTGTGTCAAAACTCCTGTTTAAAAAACACTGGACTTGGCAATACAAAATAGCTACAAACATTGCAAAAAATCATTAGTATTTGTTCATCGAGGTAAAAAAAATTAAATGTGTGATTTATCGAAATAAATAAAGTAAATGTTGCGCAATGATGAGCCACAGAAATGCGATATATACATTAAAAACAAAACTCCAGTTACATCTGTTTTTCATGGCTAATAGGTTCGTATTTCTATCATAATTTCTTAGCGAAGATTCCACCTTAATGAAATTTATCATAAATAACTGTAATGGTTATTCAAAATAACTATGGTTGAAAGATTTAACAAAAAGGCAGGAAAATGACAGGGTTATATATAAGCTAAGGCAAGAAGTACTAATAAAGGTACTGGTGTCAGTAATATTAAAATACACCTGTTAAAGACCACTAGTGGACAACTGACTCTTAAATTGCATCACTGAATGATTCGGTGTTTTAGACGCTGGACTCGCAATTTCTGGGTCGCGAGATCAGAACCTGTCACCGAACATGCTTGATCTTTCAGCCGTAAAGGGGTTATAATGTGACTGTCAGTCCCACTAGTTCCTGTAAAGGATATCGTAAGAGTGGTGTTGATTAGCTGCCTTCCTTTTAGTCTTTTATTATTTTCAAAATTAACGACGGCGAGGAAAGATAGCTCTCGAGTAGCTTTGCGCTAAATTCACCAAATAAACAAAAGCATTACTGATTTATAAGATATTTGATGCGAGAAAACAGTTACGAAGAGTAGACTCATGCTAGAGAACTGAGATAAGAGACGTTTGTGAAAGAAAAGGGCAAATTATATAAGATAAACTACACAGTGAAAAGATAAATAAAGTAGTGTAAATATACTGATACAGTTAAGAGAAATTTGGGAAGAATATAAGGTTATATAAGATGAATGATGTAGCCTAAGATTAACGAAGGAGCAATAGCATATAAGAGAAATTAATACAACTTGAATATTATGAAAAATAAAAGGAGTGATGCTTATAATATTAAATAAATTATCCTGGCAATGTTCGGTAAGTCGTATGTATATGATATTAAGAGAGTGGCACAGGTATTGTTTTGAACGTTGTTAAAATGTAAGAAGAGGCCTACAGACAATTTTTGGAAAGTGGTAAGATGATATTTATTTAGACGATCAATTTTTTGCTGGTTAATAATGATGTAAAGTAAGGTACCTGAATGGTATTTTGAAATATGTCTGCAAAATAAGATAGCTGTTATATACCCTTTTATTGGTAAATATGTCTGCAGGATAAGATAGTTGAAGGTTGTACAATGTTTTATTGGTGAATATGTCTGCAGGATAAGATAGTTGAAGGTTGTACAATGTTTTATTGGTGAATATGTCTGCAGGATAAGATAGTTGAAGGTTGTACAATGTTTTATTGGTGAATATGTCTGTAGGATAAGATAGTTGAAGGTTGTACAATGTTTTATTGGTGACTATGTCTGCAGGATAAGGTAGTTGAAGGTTGTACAATGTAATTGGTAAGTACAGCTGTAGAGTAAGGTGGTTGAATGTTTTATTAGTAACTATGTCTGCAGAATAAGGTTGCTGAAAGTTGTAGAAAGTTTTATTTAAAAATAATAGTGTAGTATAAGGTAGTTGAATGTTAAAGAAGATTTTGTGCTCACGAACGTATAAAAGTCACTTAAAGGTACACATAATAAACGATATTAAATTAAATTTGCTGACTTTTCTTTTATCCATCTTTAAACGGATTTATATGTCAAATATAAACATGAATAAAGCATGATGATTAGAATATCCGTTAGATATTTACATTACGTTCTACGAAAAGAAAGCTTCATCGTTCAAAATGTAAAATTATAACAGAAAGTGCATTTGCGACTTTATTCATTAGGAACCAGCTGATATACATAAAAATGGTTATTTATCTCAGATATTTTGCATAGTAAACAAGCTGGAAAAACAATTTAAAATGTAAAACTTTGCGTAAATAGTTAAAACAAGCTTTTGTCGTCTGGTTGATAAATGAAAGTAGAGAATTTGATTGTCGTTATTCAATTAAAGCGTCCTACTACAAACTCAGTTGAAATATATTATACACATTCCAGTCAATATATTATATGCTGTAAAATATTCAGTTCCTCATAAACATATAATTACAAAATGGGCGCAAAAAAGTGATTTTCCTAGAAAGATTTGTTTGTTCGATCAATAGCCTTTAGAGTTGTGAGAGACCACCACCAAAGGTAGCCCTCCGTACCCTTTGTGGGTAATGGCGCTGGCCTGTTTTTGAAATTGTCCAAGTTGAGGTATGCCATCTTCAGATACAGGGACCTTCAGAAGAACATAGCGTATACCTTTCTTAGCAGTCTTTGGAGGAGATGGATTAATAACCTGGTGATGTCTCAAAGGAGGAAGAATTGGAGGTTCTGGAATACGAGGTGGACTCACAGGGTTTGGACGAAAGGGTTGGCTAACAAAAACGTGGCGTTCAGGAGGCGACTCGGGTGCAGGATGAACCTGCCCAGTAATTATTTTGGGTTCTGGGATGATGTAAAGCTGGGCGTTAAGTTGGTAAAAATTGGGAGCATCTTGGCAAGAAACGTTGTACCACCACATGCATGTGAAAGTTTTTTGGTTGAAAATGGAACCATTAGGACACAGGAAACTTTTCTGAAATCCTTCTTCATAGCAAAAATGAAACACCTGCAGAGATAAAAAAAATGTTGCTTACAACATGCATCGCATTGACTTTATTCATGCTCGAAGAATAATCATTTCAAAGACCGTTTAATTGCTATGTTCAATCATTGAAAGAAGAAATTTATAACGCTTTTAGGTTAATATTCCATCAAGAAGAAATGTAATTGTTCAGCTAAGTTTTCATCCCAACCAAGATTACATGAAGAAATACAGTTTTGAAAAAGGAAAAATTTAAATAGCAGGTTATTAATGAAGATATTATAATTTTCAAAACATGTTTATGGTACACATTCCACAAATTAAATTAATTGGATAAAACTAATGCTTTCAATGTAAAAAGCATATTTATAATATCCAAAATGACCTATTTTTTAATTTACAGATATATGTATGTTTGTTTTTAGTTAAGCACAAAGCTACACGAAGGGCTATCTGTGCTCTGCCCACCACGGGTATCGAAACCCGGTTTCTAGCGTTGTAAGTCCGCAGACATACCGCTGTGCCACTGGAGGGCTTTACAGATATAAAGGTATATATATGGAGTAACCAGAACATCTCACTTTCTGGTTAATGACGTTCAGCGAATGCTAGGAAAATATTATAATGAACGTATCTCAAACCAAGTTAGCTCGTAACTGGCTTATGGTAATAATATATCAGACACCCAATGTTGATATAACCACAGTAACCGGATAATTGATTTATTTCACTAATATACCTGGCAGCCGGAGTCGACGTCAGCATAGTAACCGGGATATTGTCCTTCGCACGAGAACCCCGTCTGTGGTACATAACTGAAAACTGGATAATCTTGTCCAGCTACTCCAACAATTCCATCTGCATCCGGATCCTCTTCTGTAGGAACTGGAAGCTCGTCGTGAGAGGTTGTTAGTGGTCCGAATTCTGGCTTTTGTATCTGAGCTTGGCTTTGAGAAATTATTTGTTGTTGTTTTTGTCCATGCGAATAGCCGTAAGATGGTAAATACACTCTTTCATAACCTTGTCTATACTGGCTTTCCTATATTAAATAAAATGTCATTATAACAGCATAACTATTCGTTTTTAAGAAATATCACTAAAATACCTCGGTAAATATATATGTTAATCATTAAGCCAAATAAAAGCCCGGATAAATGAATACAGATTTCAATAAAACTTCGAATTTATTGAAACTTAAAAACAACTTTACTTCCACTACTTGGTCCTTTTATACGTTAATATAAAATATATTATCAAGGAAAACGAAATATTTTAATTGTATCCTATGAAACGGCAATTTACGTAAAATTACTCGTGTTTATCAAGAAAGAAGTGTTGAAGAATATGATAGAAAATATTTTAAAATTACATATTTTTCTGAAGGGATCTTTAATTTAGAAACCAGTTTTTGATATTTCTTAATGACTAAAAATTATATACTTCCTACTTGCACAAAAGTTTCTTAGAACTTAGTGTTTTTTTTACCTTACATGGTAGCTATCTCTAGTGTTTGATAACATATCGTCTCCACTGGATATGCACTTTCAAATGAACGTTAACATACTTACTTGAGCAATCACAGACACCAGGAGCGCAACAACGGTTAGAAGAAGTTTCATTTCAGAATTCTGGAACAACCACTGAGTTGATCTTCTGCTTCGAAGAACTAATGTTGTCCAAATGTGGACGGCACCTCTTTTTATACCCTATAAGTAGAGCTTCTGGGAAAGGCGTTCTGAGGTGTGACATTGGAATATCGGAAATGATACCCGTTACTTGTGCTTGGCTCATCAGTTTGTTCTAGATCTGCCAAATTTTGTTGTTGTAGGAGCGGTTTTATTTTAGCCAACGGCAACAACCTGATTTCGTTGTTTTACTTTCGCTACTAAAATATATGTAACATCTTTTTCCGCCCATCGTTAGAACTCGCTACTCAAGAGACCTTAATCCTTAAATAGAAACCGCCTCCACGATTTCGCAGAAAATCACCAGTCGGTAATCAAATGACTGATCTCTAGAGCAACGGGACATCAGTGACTATCCCAGATGACCGATAGGGGGTTGGGTGGTGCAGTACTTCTTCGTGATCGAGCCGGTTCCTTACGTGAGAGTAACCGCCACCTGCTGGAGAAAGTAGTGAAGTGTCATCAGGTCACTGACATGGTTGTTCGTATTGTTAATGATTGTCTAGTTGAAATCGGGTAAGATGATGATGAAATACAAAAATGAATTAGAATGCGATTGATAACATAATTCTTAAGAAACTAGCAGAGCTTAAAATGTTCTTTTGTATGATGTTGAAGTATCCTTACAAAAGAAAATTATAAAATAATCTAGTCAGCCAATAACACCAAATAATTAGACTTTGGGGAAGTCCAATGGAGTAACGGAAAATGAAAATTCCCAAACAACGTAGTAAGAAAATGTAAGTGTGAGAATAATGAAACAAAACTGCCTCAAAAGAAGAGAGAAGAAACACTGACAATAAAATAAGAACTTAGACAATTACAGGACGCATTATCTGATCAGCCTGTGTTGCAGTCCCCAGTGGCTCAGCGATATGTCTGCGGACTTACAACACTGAAAACCGAATTTCGATGTTCGTAGTGGGCATATTACAAATAGCTCGTTTTGTAGCTTTGTGCTTAGCTATAAAAACAAAGAAACATCTTATATTTGGGCCTGAGATGTCCAGGTGATCAGTGCGCTCGACTCGCAATCTGAGTGTGGCGAGTTCGAATCCCCATCCCACCAAACATGCTCGCCCTTTCAGCCGTGGGGACGTTATAATGTGACAGTCAATCTCATTATTCGTTGGTGAAAGAATAGCCCAAGTGTGGCGGTGGGTGTTGACGGCTAACTGTCTTCCCTTTAGTCTTTCAGTGCTAAATTAGGGACGGCTAGCGCAGATAGCCCTCTAGTAGCTTTGCGCGAAATTCACAACAAACCAAACCTCATTCGCAAGTACTTTTTTAATACAGAATTGGTACTGATATAGGTAAATTAAACCATGTGGAACATATTTATGAAATAAAATGACCACAGCTGGTTTTGGAAGGTAACTTCAAATCACAGTAAATATATTCCATCTTAAGAATATAGTGGTATCAATGCAAGTCACATCAAATGTCCAATGTGCACTCCGTCTAAACTCCAGACACGGTAAGTTATGATGCACAGAAAATGAAGCATATTTTCAGTGACGTGAATTACATAATGTTGAATATGATTTTTTTGCATAAGTGCTAAATGAGCAAATGTAATTCCTATCTAGTGATAAGCATATGTGGTTTCAAAGTCAATTTACACAGCTACCTACGGGCTTTTTTCATAAATATATTCTGAATATGCTTTTTATATACCCACACCAAATGGCAAAACTGTAGGCCGTATGAGTTCCTCAACTCCTGTATCCTTTATAACCAAATTTACATTTTGCCAGCCTTCTTTTGTCTAAAAGAGTCCTTCATATATTACTATATAAAAATTTTATAGTGGTGGCCGCTAGTATCTTTAAGGTACTATATATACATTTTAAATTATTGTCTAACAGTCCGTTGCCTAAAATTCAACATTATTGTCCGATAAACTCTGTTACAGTTCTGTCTAAAATATCTGACATTTCTTATTAAACTACTGTCTAAAGATTTCATAATTATTATTGTCTGACCGTTCTCTATTACGATATAATATGAAACAATTCATATTATTATCTGATCACTCTTTGTTACATTATTATCTAAAGATTTCATATTAGCTGAACAGAAGTTATGTAAATTCATGATTAATGAAAGGTTATTTTAGGACATAAAAAGTTGCTTCCCTTATATCTAATTGTAAAAAACGCCCATAAAAATTGCAAAACACAAAATGTGAAACCGCGAATTTGCTTGTATCTCTGCATGGACCCAATAAATTTTCATGCCAAATTTGGTTAAAATCCATCAACAGGGGGCGAAGTAGTGGTAAAAAAATGTAAAAGCGCTTATAAAAACCCTCAAAATGGAAAACTGAAAATTTGTATGCATCTCTCCATTGACCCAATAAACCTCCATGCCAATTTTGGTGAAGATCCATCCAAACTCTGGGAAGTAGTTACATGGATATACAACAGACAAAAGACAGTACTGTTATATTTATATAAATTATTGTTTCGCCATTCTCTGTTTTAATGCTATTTAAATAATTCATATTATTATCTGACCGTTCCTTGTTACATTACTATTTAAATAATTCATATTATTATCTGACCGTTCCTTGTTACATTACTATTTAAAAAATTCGTTCTCCGTTTCAATATTGTCTAAATATTTGGTATCATTGATTGACTACTTTTGTTACAGTGTTGGTTAAATATTTTAAATTATTGTCACACTGTTACCTACTACAATTTTGTCTAAGGATTTTATATTATTATTATTATTATTGTCTCACTATTACCTGTTAAAATATTTTCTGAAACGTTTACGCCATTGTTTCACTATTTCAAAATATAATTTTGTCTAAAGCTTTTACATTATTGTCTGGCATTTATCTTTTGTAGTTTCGTCTAAATATATTAGTATTGTTGTGAACCATTTACTGTTATAGCACTGTATAGATAATCTATATTACTGTCTGGCAATTCCATTTTACAGTAATGTCTAAGTAGTTCATATTATTGTCTGACAGTCTTTGTTACAGCCCTCTCCCAATGTTTTATGATATTGTCGTATGATTTGTTTCTTCCAGTTCTGTCTAAATATTTTATATTATCGTGTGACAGTCTTTGTTGACAATCTCTGTTGGAATAATATCTAAGAAGTTTTCTCTATTACTTTTTAAGCATTTTCGGTTGTAGTACATTCTAGATGTTTTATATTATTTTCTAACACATGTTCCCTACTGTACTTTCGAAGTAATTTTACATTAATGTTAAACACTCTCTATTACACTGATGTCTACAGATTTTATATTATTCTTAAACGAATCTCCATTATAATGTTTTAATATTTACTCTGACATCTCATAGTTATATGAGGTTAGTCCTTAATCCAGATACTAGGCTGTCAACGCAAAACAATCTGTACACTAAAAGTATAATAATACAAAACTTAAAATATTAAAACTAAACATATTAATATCTAACCGTCGTTAATACAGTACTAATTATAGAACTTACTTCATTATCTCAAGAATTACTGCTATGGTATTGTATAAACATTTTATTCTATTGTCTGACCATTCTCTGTTCTAGCCCTTTATTAACATGTATTGACTGACGTTTCTTATACAGTATTGTCTAAACTCTAAAAGCTTCATATTACTGTTGAATAGTATCATAAGATTGTACATTATTGTCTGATATTCTCTTTTGTACTGGTGGCTAAATATATTATTGACTAACAATCCACTTTACTTTAGTGTCTAAAGATTTTATATTATTTACTAGTAGTCTCTGTTGCAGTAGTGTTTGAAGATTTTACATTGTTAACTAGCAGTCACTGTTGCAGTAGTGTCTAAATATTTCATATTATTGACTAACAATCCAAGTTTCAGTAGTGTTTAATGATTCTGTCGATGGATTCATGTGCAAGGAATCTTGATTTAATCAAGAAAATCAAGACACGAACATGTAACCTCTTTCAATTGAAAAACTCAACTCTGCCTTTGAAACATGAGAAAAACAAAACTTAACTTCACCCACCACCTTTGACCATGTCTCTTTTGGATTCCACACCAGTGTTAGGTATGGTCTAACAAAGGTCTAAGAAAAAATTACCTACTACTATCCCCATCGCCGCTATGAATGGACCTCATGCTTACAATTTATCTAAATTTTTGTTTCCTATTTAAGCTTAATCTAAAACTCCATGAGTGAAAGGAAAGGTGACTAAGTTATAAATATGTCAACCACGTTATAATTGCTATATCCTGTCCCGACGAGGTTTTTCGCTAATACCAGGGCTCACCAGGCCGGATGGAATACCACATACACAGTAATGCTCTAGGTGATATATATGTATGTATATAATCAATTTTCATGGACAGACTCTGTTATGGTGTGGGCATATTTAAGCAAGTGAATTAGTATCACTTTCATTCAAGGTATTTACAAATCAAATGTTTAGGTGTGTTTCTTGTCAAGCGCAAAGCTGCACAATGGGATAACTGTGCTGCGCCCAACACAGGTATTGAAACCCTATTTTCAGCGTTATAAGTCCGCAGACTTACCGCTCTGCCACTGGATGTTTCAGGTTTTTAGGATAAGAATTTATAACACAACATTACTTCTTTTATTTTCAATACTGGTTATTTATTTATTTTTATTTGAATTAACCTTACAAACCTCGCAAACCAGCAAATTAGTAAATATTAACAATGACACCATTAAAGATACGTCTTCTTTTTCCCAATAAATGAATAATTTTCAAATCTCAGGCAATTTTGTGATGGCCAACTTTGACATAAGAAAATCATCTAGATTTTTCTATTACAACTTTTCTCAGGGGACTCTAGGTTGGTAAACTATCTAAGCCAATCAGAACTACATCAACTTCCTACCCTTGCTACATAAATATATTTTTTTTTCAAACTATATAACTATATAGCCAAATACATAAAGTTTCGATAATTTCACCATTATATTTTACACTCGTCTATGTCCTTCAGTAATTTTACGAATCCTCATGGTTAACAGACTACCTTACGAACTTCAAACCTATTCTCTATAAAAATGTATGTTGAGGATACTTTTGTTATATTTTTTCTAATTTTTTAACTAATTTAAACTTGACGTCCTTGTTACATGATAAATTTGTTTGTTAAATACAAGACTACACAATAAGCTGTATGTACGAGTATCGCAACCCGATTTTCAGCGTTATAAGCCCTCAGACTTACCGCTGAGCCACTTGAGTTTGTAAAAGAAACAATAACGATTTCTCAACAAATTTGTATGAAGTATCATATTTTAAAAGTTACAGTTTATACGCCGGAAACTGGCTAAAAATTAATAT